AGCTGCCTCACAGAGGGAAGCCAGGCTGCGGCTTAGGCCTGCTCCCCACAGGGACATAAGTAGGACATCCTGTGAGGGCTCCCAGACTGCTAGAGGGGGCAGGCTGGGCTGAGGGATGCTCCCCCGAGTGCACAAATTTGTGTGCACCGGGCCTCTAGTCTATACTAATAAAAGGGTAATATGCTAATTAGACTGGACGTCTTCCAGATGACCATCCAGATGTCCTTCCTGACAAAGCCAGGCCCAGGCGAAGCCACCTGCCCACGGTCCCGGGCGATGGTGCCTGTGGTTGCAGCCCAGGAGAGGGAGAAAAGCCGTCTGCCCCGCGGTCTGGGGAGCCGGTGCCTGCGGCCTGGGAGAGGGAGAAAATCTGCCTGTCCCATGACTGTGGCTGGCCCGGACAAAGCCGGCCTAGGTCCCAGGTGCCTGTGGCTGGCCAGAAGGAGGGAAGCCTGGGTCCTGGGTGTCTGTGGCCCATCGGAGGAGGGAATCCTGGGTCCCGGGTGTGGGGCCGAGGCAGAGGCAGTTAGGGGCGATCAGGCAGGCAGAGGTGGTTAGGGACGATCAGGCAGGTAGGCAGAGGGAATAGGGGCAATCAGGCAGGCGAATGGTTAGAAGCCAGTGGTCCCAGATTGTGAGAGGCAGTCAGAGATCCCCTGAGGGGTCCCGGATTGGAGAGGGTGCAGGCTGGGCTGAGGGACGCCCCCATCCCCGGTGCACGAATTTCATGTACTGGGCCTCTGGGGCATTGATAAAATGCATTTTTGTGTTTCTAGATGTCCTCAGTTGGAACAGACATAAATCATATTTTCCATTAGTTTCAAATTTTGTGAAGGAAGTTGGGGAAAGCCCACAAAAAGAATAAGCCAAAACCCAACATACTAGTTTAGGCACATCTATTAAGTAAGAATGTTATCTATTTCTTTTCTGAAATTTATAATACATAGCTAAAATGTCTTAATCTCCAAGAATCTCCTACCTCTGGCCAACTTCTCTTACGTCTTAACCAGAGAAATTTCTTATCAGGAGACCCTCAAGTCCAGGTTTAATTTAGAGAACTTGTACCCCCAATTTTCCTTTGTCAACTCACATTTAATGATGTAAGACAACTATGGCACATTTCATCAGTGGAACTACAGAGCAAGAACTGTTACCCAGAAAATACCATTAGTTCATTGCTTCACATCTTCTGCAATACCTGACTTTGAGTCTGTACATTTTAAATTCAACAAAACTAACCTTTGAGTTTGAAAAAGCCTCAAAAGGCTTGAGATATTCAGTGGTGGTTAATATATGTACACTTTATTTTTTTTAGGCTAATGAATCCTTATTTTCACCCTGTGTTCATTTGATCATGTAATTATTCTTTAAAATCTATTACCAAATTGTTAAAAAAGAATTATAGTTATGTTTTTAAAGTCTATTTTTTGAAATACAAACTAAAATATTAATACATGAAATAATGATATCTGGGATTAGCATTAAAATAATTATAGGAGAGCCCTGGCCGGTGTGGCTCAGTTGGTTGGAGCATCGTGCCGTATACTGAAAGATCGTTGGTTCAATTCTCGGTCAGGGCACATACCTAGGTTTCGGGTTCAATCTCTGGTGGAAGTGTATACGAAAGGCAACCAATCGACATTTCTCTCTCCCTCTCCCTTTCCCTCTCTCTAAAATCAATAAAGGCATGTCCTTGGATGAGGTTTAAAAATTAAAAACTGCAGGGGAGGAAGGAAGCTGAACTGGGCAGAACTGGTAACTATTCAGTTTGGCATGAATATATGGAATTCACTGGTTTCCAAACCTATACAGAATTAGATAGAATTTTTCCATAATAAAAAGAAGTATTTTTAATTTAAAAATGATTATTTTCTCTACTTACCATCTAATAATTCTAAAGTAACTGTAGGATCCACATATTCCCACCAATGTTTTCCATCAGTTGACACAGGAATCTCCCAATTGGACCATTTGCAAGCCAAATGAATGCATACACATGCTATCACTGTTGGTTTGTACTGAAGACAGAAGGTGGTAAGATGTAGACTGTTGTGGCGCATGTTTGAAAATGAAGAGTCATAGAAATTCAAATATGTAAAACAAAGAAAAAACATTTACCAGTAAGATTAGAACAAAAACAGAATTATAAGGTTTTCTTCTGTAAGCCTAGAGTACAAAACCTTACTTTATTATGTTAAAAGCTAACACTATACTTACAAAATTCCAGCACTAAAAATACCCTATACATTATGAAAGTTCCCCATACTCTTAAACCCGAGTATTATATTAATATTTTATTAATACTAATATATTAATATTTCTGAATTTTGCTTTTACAACTAAATTCAAAGTATTTTTATTTTTTTATAAGTGGAGGTGAAGTCATATACCTAATACACTTCTATTTCCAATAACCACTATATACCAGTACAACACCTTAAACCTTTTTTGGTGGAATTTTTGTTTCTTTTGTAATACCATGGCAAAAAAGTAATGAAAAAGCTGAGGATTCCTGGTAAAAGTGACACATTTCAACAATGCATTATAATCAGAGATTCTACCATTTGATGTGGCTTAAACATAATTCTCAAGTAAGTTAAAGAGAATTTAAGACTTATCTATGTAAATCTCTGTCTTCTTTTCAACAGAGCCACAGAGAAAACTTACCTTTTGCGTAACAGCTTCAAAGCCCAATGTTGCTATGAACTACAAAAATACTTTCTTTCTCCTTCCACTATACTGGGCATGTAACATGTTTCAAGTAGGCTTTTCTAACCAAAGTTTTAAATTTAAGTTTTTTTTGCTTTTTTTTTTTGCTATTGTTGTTCAGAATTCCTCAGAATAGAGGTTAAAGCCCAACAACATATATCTGAGGAAATACATAGATTATTTGCCAATCCAAAATTTTAAATAAAACTTAACAGTGTCACAAAAAATTAAGGGCCACACAAAGCTGGTTTGGTCCCCTCCTCCCCAGAAACCCATTAAAAAAACAAATTTAAATAATTAATATAACCAATACAGAACAGAATTTTATATTAGATATTAAAGGCTTTTAAAAACTATTCTTCCACTTCAGTTTCAGAATTAATGAAAATGTTTATTGATCAATCACAACTCACACCATTTTTTATTTATATAAACTGAAAAGGAAGTAAGGTTTTTTAAAAGTAAAAGTTGTACTTATGCACATCCAGGCACTGATAAGAGTCGACTACTTCTAATTTACTACTAATGGGTATAATATAACCAAGCTATAGAAATTTTACTTATTAAAAAACTTTAATGATTAAAGTTAAGATTGGATCAATGTGAAATTTTAAAAATTGTCATTTAACTATAATTATAAACTAGAAATAGCTTTATACTTACCAAGTTGCTCGAATTTCTACGTTAAGTTTAGCTCTGTGTAATCTTTAGCTGCTATTCAGGCTACCAATTTTAGACTTATGCACTCACAAATCGAGAATATGTCATCAGAAAGCACCACTACACTTCACATTGTGCATTTAACCCCTCTGTGCCCAAAGTCCCTTGTACAATACACCGCAAAGCAGACAGGAAGGTACCACCACAGTAGATGGTCCAGTCTCCTGTTGCAACAAGGGTAAGAGACACATTGAGGGGGCCCTGCATTAAAGGAAGCTATAGTGTGCTACAACAGTGCAACAAAGAGGGTCAGGATAACAACCTGTTGGTAGCCATGAAATAGGATGTCTGTGCCAAATCCTTGCTTGCTGTAAGGAAAAGAAAAAGAAAAACGAAGACAATACTATCAGCTTTAACATGCTACCATTAAAAAGTTCTCAACATAACAAAAACTTCAAAGATGTGTACACAAAAAGTAAATTTTACTTACTACTTACAAATATCACAAGAGCGCCATCATTTTCTATACTACTGAAAATCTTCAACAACATTCACTCAAATGTTTCTTGCTATCCCCCAAAGATCTGAGAAACAAGCCGATTTGCTTTTAGCTAGCCAGTTACAAGGGCTAAACTTGTTACTAAGTTAAGCATCTAGTCAGCTAAAAGTTGCAATAAAGCATTCTCCTGGATTTAAAAAAAAAAAAGAAGAGGAAGAAGAAGAAAAGATTTTGAAGTCTAATACAAAATACAAAGAGTTGCCTGCCAGACTTAATCCTCAGTCATATTTAAATTGGCTTAGCACTTCCATCAAAATAAAAGAAAACAAACCCCCACCCTCCAAAGTCAGAGAGCACAACTGCTCAGTTTTTCATCATGCTACTAAGCACCAACAGAGAATAAACAACCTAAAACATTATAAGGACAGATATAGGAAACTCCACTATATTATTTTTTAAAAAAATTATAGAATCCAATTAATAGAACTTTAGATTATGATTTGAGTCCTGTAGAGGGAATCATGATGCTTCAACACTGTTAACCCCTCAAAGAATGGAAATTAAGACACTGAAATGGAAAACTGGCCCTCCCCTCTGCTTCTTATTCTTCCCAACGGGGATGCCTCTGCTATATACAGTTCACCCTTTTCTTCCAATTACATTCACGAAACTGACATAAACTTTCCCCTTTGTTTCAACTAGGATTAGTTCCCTTCAACTCACCCCTCTTTAAAAGGCCTCAAAGTCCTTGCCCCCTCGTAGTTTTATCTGCAGCACCTGTAATCCCTGCTGCCCCATGTGAATCTTAAAAAGGGACCTGGGCTTAGCAGAGCTGTGCTAAGAGTGTCAAAGCATCAGATGTCCTGGAGACAGTGTGACTTAAGTATTGCTTTCTTTCCTTATGGGAAAGGAAGGATTAAATCAGAAAAGTGAAAGTCCCTGTAAAATGACATTAGTCAATTCTGCAGCAAAGGAGCATAATACCAATTTTCTCTTGTGGGGAAAGGAGAGAGGTAAAGGACTTGAAAGAAGCCAAACCATTTACTCCCTTCACAAAAGACGCAAAATATGTAGATAAGAAATTTTAAATTGCCGTAGCAGTTTTCACCTCAGAATATGTCTAAATTCAATAACCTCACTGTG